CGGAGTGCTGTGCGGGCTGCGGTGTGTGGCCATTGTGAGGCCTCCTGGGCCTCCTCACTAGGCCTGGAAATTAGCATACAAACTGTCTGGCAGAAAATCCACCCATTGAGAGAGGGAACGGGAACCGACTCGAACCAGGTGAGTCGCACGATAATATTAATATGTACCTCACTTAATCATAAATGCCCGGCGACATGCAAAGGCCCCATCCCCCTCCCCGTGCTGCTCCGCGCCATCCTGTGCGACAATTGATGTATGGAGCGTACTGCCAACCCGTTTTGCATACCCTTTTGTTGAGGGGGGTATAAAGGTTTTTGCAAAAAGAAAACAAAGAATAGAAAGAAAAGAAAGAAACAAATTTGTATCAAGAGTCAACAGTCAACAATCAATATTGGTAATATTTCTTAACATAAAACATACAAAAATGAATAAGAGTTATAAAATTGGTACCATTACTATTATTTAGGTATATTTTGGAAGGAAACTTGGTCTATTTAATAGCCGAAAAGATAAATAAGTCGGAAATCATTTTAAAATCAACACCAGATGCAATTTCACCTTTGATTGCTAAGCTACTCTGTGACAGAGTGCCAGAGAGAGGCCTAATTATATATCAATCAAGTAAAAAAAGGTCATCAAAGGGTAACTAAAGCTTAGTACTCTTTCTGTCCCTCTCTCTATCTCTATCTCTTTCGTTAGTTGAAAGCTTAACCGCCAGGCATTTGAAAATTGGGCGTCTCGCTGCCAACAAGTTGCATGTCGCTAACTAGTTAATAATAATGCCTTTGGACAAAAAAGTGGCAACCTGTATGACGTGACGCATTGCATGACATGCAAGGGGGAGGTGGTGGTGGTGGTGCTGGTGGTGGTACGGAGTATACCGTGCCACCCCAAAATACGAACCGAAACTAAACCAAATTAGAAGCCTTTTCATTTTGTTGTTGGATAATTTATGACCCAGCACTTTTCGAGTCAATTCAGCCAAGCGTTAATCGTCGTTTGACTCGTTTTTCGTAGGCCCAACAATGGGCATAGCTTGGAAAACAAGTCCAGTCCACAGAGCGGGGCGGTCGGCGGTCCGTTCTCAATGGAATGCTGGGTGGGGCGGGGGGATACGAGTACCACCCGGGCACTCTCTTTTGTCGCATTGTCGTCGTTTGTCCGCCTGCCCACATGACGGCTACTGTTTTGTTACTACATTCGTATTATTGTAATTTGCCAGCTCCGGCCACAAGAGGGGGCATGGCCCCAGGCCTGCCTGCCACGTTGACAGCGTGTCATTTTCGTATCGTTTTGTTTAGTCATAGTCACAGTGTGTGCCGTGCCCCCCCGCCAAGCCGCCCAGCCGCCCCCTTGTGCTCTTGTACTCTGTTTCCTCGCTTCAGTTAACTGGTTTACTTTTCTGGGTTTTTTTCTATGGTTTTTCCTCTCTTTGGACTCTTTTTTGTTTTTTTGTTTTTGTTTTGTGCTGCCATCTATGGCATGTTTCATAATTAATTGTGAAATTATACGCAGACATATGCAAAAATGGTCAGTCCTCATTTTTCATGTGGTTGTCAGTTTTTTTTTTTGCCCTTACAAAAAAAAAAAAGAAGTGGAAGGCATAGCGAAGTGGTTATTAATGTTGCAAGGTTCCAGCAAATTATAGATGGGGAATATATGCCAGGCTTTGGAGTGGTCTGACATAGGTGGGTAAAAAAGGGTTCTACCTCTTTCCCAGTGAGGCTTAGCTTGGGTTTTTATGTGTCCAAAGAACTCAAACAGTGAGAGTTGTTTTAATATTTTTAGCATTTATTTTTTATATTTTATTAGTTAAAAAAATGTTTTTAAAGTGTATCTCCAAGTATCTCTATTTATTTGATTTATTATTCATGGTAATGTTGTTCCTCTGAAAGCCTAAACTTTCATTTTTCTTCTTGTATCCCTTTATCGGACATTCCCTTTCAACACGTAACAGCACGCAAGGATTTCGAAAGAATAGGTTCATGCCACATGCCTCAGAAGGCTGTCAGAAATTTGAACTCTTACAATTCATAGAAATTAATTGGTTTCCATGGCAGAGTGGCAACGTCCGTGTTGCGGAAGGAACTACTTGCGGACGGCAACGACGACTACATAAAAGTAGTATAAAACCAAGAGGGCCAATGCAAATCAGGAAACAACCTCAACACCTGCTCGATTCACAAAAACTTGAAGGGCCCCCCCAAACGTCGTCACTACCCCCAACAACAGTCGATGAAACTGCGGAATAACATGGCTCGGGGAACTGTCATTCCCTCCGGTAAATGGAGGTTGTGGAGTTGACGTGTCAACTGTCAATTTGTATTTGATATGCTGTCACTTGGGGCTGTGGGGGGGTTGTACACGGGCCACATTGCCACCCCACAGCCCACACAGAGAAATCACAACAAATAGACGACAATTGACGGCCCACAAGTCGAAGCCGACAGTCGCGGGGGCCTACAGTGGAGACACCGAGAGAGTCTTTGGTTGAGAAATTATTCCCTGTACTTGCATGTGGACGTTGCACTGTATCTTAAACGGGGGAGGCCCCATACGCAGCAGGGGTCACACACTCGGCAATTGAACTTTGTCACTCGGAGGCGGTGCGGCCCCACCATTCGACTGCTGCTAAATGCTCGTGTCAGGAGACTTTATTTGTCTTACTTATTTATGTTTATGTGTTTTCTTGCACACTCTGCTCTGGGGCGTTTGCTAAATTAGGCGCACGTCCGTTCCGGGTAGAGGATTGGGAATTGCGGATGTGGGGCTATCCCCCCGCCCCCCCCCCCCCCCACACCAATCTACCCACACGAACTTCTTCTCTTAGGAGCAGCAACAGCGGCAGCAGCTGTGCCTAATTTATTTCATTGGACGTGCCCCCGTTTTGGCCCGCCCATCGACTCGAATCAAACCCAACCAAACGAAAACCCAGAACGAATCCCACAGTTTGAAGATTTATTTCATTCTGAAGCACATTAAAATTTTACAAATTGCTTAAATCAAATAAATGGCCGCGTTTATGTTGATAAATTGAGTTCTTTGAGGGCGGGCGCGGCAAAGGCAAAGGCAAGTTTTCTGATTCACACAATTTGGGAATTACAAGGGTGATGGAATTAGTGGAATGGAACCATTTTCTAGAAGAGACACTGGAATTAGTGGAATGAATGAGTATTTTCCAGGGGGTTTCCTCTTTCGGTTGTAGCTAGGTTAAATTAGACCGTAAGGCTTTAATTTCTTCCTTGTAAATGTTTCCCATAAGCAAACGGATATCATTCGATAGAAATAAAACAATCAAAGGCCATTAGGATTTTTTTTTTCTAAAAAATACTAATTAGTGATGGGTTCTATGGTGAAAATTATAAAATTAAAACTATAAAAATAAAATTAAAATTAAAAAAAACTCATTTAATTTTTTAAAATATAAATCTTCCAATTTGGAATACATTTTTGCTTTTTTAGAAACATTTTCTGTATATAATTTATAGTTGCATCCAATTTAGATTCCAACGGAGAGCAAAACTATTACCTTGTTGCCATCTTCGCTGAAGTCCGCTTCCGATAACGATAACGATAAGTACTACTTTTATATGGATATGGGTGTACACCTAAGTGACTCTTTTGCATAATGAATGAAGAACCAAAGAGCAAAGAAGCAACTTAACGACTTGACATCTGCAGACATGGCCACCATAATACTTTGTATGTAAATTTTGCCAATAAAGTAATTTCTTTTAATGAGCCGCGGGCATCGCCACCAGAACCAGAGACAGAGAGAGAGACAGAGGGAGAGGGAGGGCAGCCAAAGAAGCAAAGAAGATATGGGAGAACGAGGAGAGACATTAAGTATCGCATAAAGTAACAAAATGAATTAGGCCCCGACATGATGATGATGATGATAATGATGATGATGATGGTAGCGCAGTGGAAGTGGTGCTGCCCCTATCAACGTGGTAGTCTCTCGAACGCGCGGAAGTAATTGAGTTAAATATGCACAAGATGACAGCATAAATTATGCGCCACAGAAGAAAACAAAACGAAAGAGTTAAATGTGGTCTTGTGGCCGCGAGAGGAGAGAAGTCGAACCCCCAGAACTCGGCCCGAAGACAGCAAACAAAAGGCAACAAATGAGGGGCAGCCTACTTATCAACATCATGGGAACCGAATGGTAAAAACCCTCCACATACATCCAGATCCAGGGGTTGCAAGTATGTACTTGAAAAAGTGTGCATAACAAATTTCGATAATGAACTATGAAATTTGTTAGCTGCGTCCTGCGACTGTTACCCCTTTTTTGTTTGTGTCACAAGGATTTCGATTTTGGAATTTATTTTGCTGTCATAAATTTTGAAATAACAATTATAGCCATTTGTAGCGCACAAATTTGCATACTCCACGGCTGTCCTGTCCCAAAAGGAAGACATAATTCATCCAGCCCATTGTCAGAAAACAGAGACACAGCTATAAGGGATAAGAAGGGAAAGAATACCATGAACAATGCGCAGAATGTTTTTGTATTTCGAACAGGAACCATATTCAGCTCTAAAGGCCTTTCGCTTAGGGGAAATTTGTATAAGAATTAACGTCATATGCTGTATTTATTGGAATAAAAGACAGAAAATACTCTGCGAAGATTTAAACCATTTAGTGACGTGTATTTTGCTGATTTTCCATCAAGTTTGATCTCTAATCATCATCTGCACAAATTCCCTGTAATAATAAAGTCTCGTGGGGCTAATGAAATGAAACAAAATTAAAATAAGAATACAAATCTTAAAAAATATCGTATAAAATTACCTATCAGTGTTGGTTTGGCTGTACCACCAGCCTCCATGATTGACGTAAGCGGGTCTATAATATTCCTCGACATAATTCTCCCGATCGTAAGTTGAAAATGTCACATTCACTTGTCCTTGGAAATAATCATAGATAGTTCCATTCAGATGAGTTATGGACTTTAGGTTAAAGCCCTCATCCTCGTTTCCCAAGCGAAAATCGAACTATTTTCCAAAGAATTCTTTACCGCTTTCATTTGCATAAAGATACAATTCCTGGGGACTCGCTTTGGTCATCACATGTAGTTTCTCCAGGCCAATGAAGAAGGTTCCGTTGATCTCACCAAAACCCTGCTTATATTCAGTCCAATTCTTGCTAAAGCTATCCGTACAGCAGTCGATTTTCCGCATAACAACTGTCCAGCCGGGACCAGCCATCTGCGAATCGCAGGGTACTGCGAAGGGGTGGAGGCCAGGCACATGGATCACATGGATTTCCGAGGAGTAACCAAATGCCCGACAACTAGTGGGGGGATGTTTGGTGTGGATCATCTTTTCCTCCCATGAACTCAGGAACCGAAGCAGGAAGTTGATTGGCGAAAAGCAAAAGAAGCCGCACTGATCCTCCAAGGAAGTAACCTTTATGGAAAAAAAGTTATAATGCCTCATGAATTTTCCTCGTTATTAAAAAACTTCCTACCTTTTGGCCCAAATCTACATTGGTTTCCGCCATGAAGTTTAACCAAGAAAAGAATAAAATCAAAATCAAAAACACCAAAATCGAATATTTCAACATTTTAGAGGAGAACATTCTTGTTGCTTGAGGTTCCACGAGTGAAAAGCAACTGAGAAGCAAGTTCTGGTGGGGCAAGAAAAAGGTCTTTTATCAAGCATCCAGAAATACATTTTATCAGCAAGAAAGTCGCTGAATATATATATACTTATCGGCTATGAAGTCGTGTTGTACTTACTCCGAGGTGCATTTGCTCAAATTTTCAGGGAATGCATTTTTTATAGATATTTAAAATGAAAAAATAATCAAATAAATAATAAAATTATAATACAAATTGGTATAAAAGTTTGGTGTTCTCCATATTTATTGAAACCAAAAAAATACCACAAAAATAAAACATGAAAAATATAAGAAAATAACAGAAAAACCAGCATTAACTTTTATTTTTTAAGCTATTTTTTTAACGTTAGTTCACGGTAGCTTCATCGATTACCGAAGAATTCAAAAATTGTATTTAAATATATAAAAATACTTCTCTATCAAGGGCGCATAATGGTTCCTTCTTCTATTATTGGATCTCTCTGAACTTAATGGTCAATTGCTTCCAGTCCCTAGAACTGAATGGCCTGCAGATACAAGTGAAATAGTTAAATAGAAATGGATATAATAAGTCAAGAATTTTTTAATATATATTTACATTTTTCGTTTCATAAGAACCTGAATCGCCATAAGCGCTTTCATTTCGGTAATGGAGTACTTTCTGTTTGGTAAATTATCATTGACCGACCTGAGTGTGTAGTCTGCTTCTGCGTTGCCCACTTTGAAGCGAATGTCTTGAACCGAAGAGCTTCTGCCATCCACAAATTTCACTTGGATAAGAATTTCGTGTGGCGTGGCCTTTGCCATGAAATACAGATTCTTGCGGCCGATGAAAAATGAATCATTTCCATTGTTGAACGGCTTTTCTTTATATTGAGCAAGCTTCTTTTCTAGACTAGCCAATCCCTCAAGTTCTTGCAAAATAATTGTCCAACCACTTTCGTCTGGTTCTGCCAAAGGAACATCGATTGTATGAGTCTCGCTAATTTTTGGGTCTGCATTATCCAAAATATGCCTAATAAACTGATCCTTTTTTTTAATTTGTTCCTCCTTTTGTTCTAATAATTCATCCTTGCTCGTCAGTTGTATCTTCACATTCGCGATTTCTTTTTGCAGATTCTTCAAGGTACTATCCTTCTTTTTTAAGAGTTCATCCTTTTCTTCCATCGTTTTATCCTTTTGTTTTATAATTTCATCCTTTTCTATCATCGTTTTCTCGTTTTGTTCATCCTTTCTCTTCAGTTGCATCTTCACATTCGCGATTTCTTCTTGCAGATTCTTCAAGGTATTGTCCTTCTTTTTTAATAGTTCATCTTTTTCTTCCATAATTTTCTTCTTCTGTTTTAAGAGTTCATCCTTTTCTTCCATCGTTTTCTCCTTTTGTTTTATAATTTCATCCTTTTCTATCATCGTTTTCTCGTTTTGTTCATCCTTTCTCTTCAGTTGCATCTTCACATTCGCGATTTCTTCTTGCAGATTCTTCAAGGTATTGTCCTTCTTTTTTAATAGTTCATCTTTTTCTTCCATAATTTTCTTCTTCTGTTTTAAGAGTTCATCCTTTTCTTCCATCGTTTTCTCCTTTTGTTTTATAATTTCATCCTTTTCTATCATCGTTTTCTCGTTTTGTTCATCCTTTCTCTTCAGTTGCATCTTCACATTCGCGATTTCTTCTTGCAGATTCTTCAAGGTATTGTCCTTCTTTTTTAATAGTTCATCTTTTTCTTCCATAATTTTCTTCTTCTGTTTTAAGAGTTCATCCTTTTCTTCCATCGTTTTCTCCTTTTGTTTTATAATTTCATCCTTTTCTATCATCGTTTTCTCGTTTTGTTCATCCTTTCTCTTCAGTTGCATCTTCACATTCGCGATTTCTTCGTGCTGATTCTTCACGGTATTGTTTTTCTGTCTGTATAACTTTTTCAACTCTTCACTGAGCTCCAATCTGAGGTTCTGCACCTTATCGATGGTTTCTTTTAGGTCATTCTTGAGGCCAGAAGAACTTCGCTCGTCTACCAACTTTTTATTGAGAAATTCTACTTGAGTTTTGTATTTGGTAACCTTCTCATTTTGGTCTTGAAGTTGGTTCTGCATTCCACTTATATGTAGATCCTTCTGATGGCATATTCCCATGTATTTAAGCAACGGCTTGACGGTGGGATAACAAACGGCAGCGCATTGATCTTCCAGTTCTCTTGATACAAAACAAGACTGTGAATGTTTTAGACAATAAGTTAAAAGATATGTTACGATGTTTACCGATTTTGAAATGCCAGAAAATGTTGTCTTACCTCTTGGTTTTCATGGAAATCTGAACCACGTGTCAAATTCTCCGACAAATTAAAAAAAACCAACACAATAATAAAAATATTCAACATATTCTGGGAATATACCTTGATATTTCTCGAACACAACACAATACCAACTGAATTGGCATTTGCATAGAAGTTGCAATGAAATCTGAAGCTCTCAGCTCTTATGGAGCTCTTATCATGATTCCTCAGGGCAGCATTATATACTATGGGTTCTTCCCATGTCACATCGGAGTTAAGGGTTATCAGTGTTTTATACAATTTACCCTACGATTATGTATGTATAGAATGAGCAATGATTGAGTCTATGCAATTATCCCCGTATTTTTCGTAATATTATTTAATATATTTCTGAAAAAAATACTGGAAAAAATCCAATACAAAATTCTAATAGTACTTGCAGGTATTTTAATTTATTGTTAAATAATTCCATTATTCTTCAATTTCCTTGTATTTAGTATATATATTATTTTAGTATCTTTCTGGTATATTTATTGATATTTATTTTCTGATATATTAATATTATTTTTTCTGCTATATTTATAGTTTTTTATGGTATTTGTTAGTATTTTTCTGGTGTTTTTATAGTACTTTTTCTACTAAATTCATAGCATATTTATTGTAATTTTTTTTTTGAATTTTATTGTACTTTTCTGGTATATTTACAGTATTTTTTTCTGGTATATTTCTAGAATATTTACATATATTTCTTTTTTTATTCAGCAAGCATTAACAACAATCTTGAACAAGGATAACATATAGATATTTTCTCCAATCACCGATTTCTATCTAGAGTACACAAAAGGCTTGTTTTTTCGATCACAAGGTCTCTCTGATCATAATGGTCAATTCTTTCCATTCAGGAAGATCATCGAATGGCCTGAAGATAAAAAAGTTTAGTATTAGTTTAGTTCAATAGAAAATCATACGATAATCAAAAAATTCATAGAGATATTTACAAAAATTGTTTCCTGAACAGAGCGTCGAGTGACACTGACGTTGCCGTTTGTTGGACGGAGTAGTCTCCGATTCTTGGAATTGTATTGAACGACTTGATAACGTAGTCTTCCTCTTCGTCGCCCATGTACACTTTTGTGCCTTTATAAACTTCAATAGAACCGTCTAGAAATTTCAACATGACAAAAACTTCGTGTGGCATTTCTCGTGTCATGAGATACAGGTTCTTTCGACCGATGAAAAATGAGTCGTGCAGATCTCCGAACCCCTTTTCTTTATATTGATTTAGCTTGTGGTCTAGGCTAGCAGATCCCTCAAGTTCTCGCAAAACGATTGCCCAACCAGATCCATCGATAATCGAGTTACAAAGCACCGAGAACGGTTCTGTCGCAGGAACATAGATCGTTCGGACCCCTTTGGTGCCTTCAAAGGTCTCACAGCTTCGCGGAAGGTACTTCTCCATCATCTGCTTGATATATTCATCCTTCTCTGCCAATAGCTTATCCTTTTCCTTTATTGATTTCTCCTTTTGCTCTAATATTTCATACTTTTGTATTAATTTGGATTTGACATCAGTTAATAATGACTCCTTGCTCGACAATTCAATCTTCAGTTTCCGCACAACTGCTGCATCGACTCGTTCCGTTTGCTGGTGTCTGGTGTCTTCTTGGAGATACCTAAGCTCGGAACTGAGTTGAAACTGCACCTTTTGGACATTTTCGAGGGCTTGCTTTAGTACACTTTTCTGGTCACAAAAGTTGTTTCTCAATTGTTTACCGAGCGCCTCCGTTTCACTCTTACATTTGACGCTTTCAACTCTTAGCTCTCGCACCTCTTCCTCAAGTTGGTTAATTTGCGAATCCTTCTCCTGACACCTGGCCAAATACTGAAGCAGGGGCTTAACAATGGGATAGCAAACGAAACCGCACTGATCTTCCAGATCGCTTGCCATGAAACAAGACTACAAATTGTATTTAAGAGATTTAAAATATTAATTTTTAATCATTGAATGTTATAACCTCTTGATCCACTCCGATGTCCGCCAGAGAATCAATAGCCAAAGGGATCAGAACAAGCATAACAAAGAAGAGATATTTCCCGTAATTCATTTTCATTCGAATACTTGATATTCTTGCACAACTGAAACGCAACTGAGTTTTCTTTTGTTCCGGAATGGTATAAATAACGAGAGTTCCACTGAAGTCTTCCCTACTCTGTTGTTCAGATGAGAGAATAATTTCTTATCGATGGGATGAGGAGGGCATTTAATCCCATTGCTGGAATATATATTGGTGACTTCGTATCAGCTTTAAAAATATGGAAACGTATCAACGTGATTGTGTGTTCATTCACTCTTATAATCTATATAACTTTTCTTGTTTATATAAAAGCTGAAATAAATTTTTAAATATAATTAGAATAATATATAAAATAAATAAATAATTTTATTCAATATTAAATATTCTTAGAAACTTCAAAATGTCGAAACAAAAAATCTAAACTCGGAAAATATTAAAAACAAAAAGGTGTGAGTCCCAGGCACTCAAAATCTCGCTAAAAGTGTTCGAAAACCAGGTGTTCAAATAGCCAAACGATTTTAATTTGTATTCAACTCATTTAGTTTATTTTTCTGATCCTGTAAACCAATAGATATGATTTTTCTTTAAGATACTGTGTTCTCGATTTTCTCATTACTTAAAAATTGTGGAATATTCTAGAGACCAACGAGAATCTGTTTCATGATTAATTTTACGATTATTACACACATTTTCTGTTCTGTTTCAATTTTGGGTGAAGGTTTGTGTTTCCTGCCTTGTGCTATGCCGAATTTTACGAGCATCGAATTAAATTTTGAATGAAAAGAAATGTGCAATAAACGATAAAAACTTGAAAGGGAATATTTTGTGGCCCATACAATGCCTCCTCCGATGATGATACGAGTATTTGTGTGATATTTAAACTCAAGTTTTATATTCGACTACGGACGAACAGACACACAAAATAAATCAACTGTGAACATTCTGTTCCGGGGCGGCCGGCCTCTGGTCATAAAGTAAAAATTTGTTACACAATCTGTACGAAAATATGTTGGAAATATGCAAATTTTCTTTAGTCCAAAGAATATTTTACGGCTATTCTGTTTGTATGTGTGTGAGAAAGTTTTTCGAGATGAAAAATCTGTGTGTGGATGAGAATTTGTCGTTGGCTACTGCGATTTCTTGACCATTTCCCATTTTCAACATTTTCCACATTTAAATGTAAATTAATGGCCGGTTAAGCTGTCAGTCTCTGGCACTGGATCGCACTCTGGCCTGTGGGGTCGTCTAACAATTTTCGGTGGATGAATGGGAATGGACATCATCAGAGAACAGATTTGTGGTGTTAATTTGCTGTGAAATGTTGACTGACCGGTGGACCGGTGGACCGACCGACCGTGTGTACACCGTGTGGACCAGTTTGCCAGTTGATGTGGCCATTGGCTGTAATTAATTGTCTGTGTTTAATTTGGGTTAATTTTATTTATGGGCCAGCCTTCTTCGTCATTTACGACTGAAACCAAGGAATACTTTTCACACGGATTACAATTACAGTATAATATTTCACATTTCCTACTTATTTCTCTTCCTTTTCGCCCCTCTTTTGTTTCAGTTTTTGTCTCTGGAAATCATTGCTGTTGTCAGTTCTTGTTCGCCTGCCTGCCCGTGACGTGGCAACACTGACAGGACACTTTTGACAGCCCAGAGACAGCGAGGACTAAGCTTCTGCTAATGTCAACAGCAAACAGTTCAAAATTGTGCAAAAAAAATAAAATAAAAATAAGAACGAAAGACAAACAAAAAGATAAATGTGGGAAAGAAATGTGCGAAAAGAAAGCGACTAGGTGAGTACTCTATAAAATATTTTTTATTATTCCCTTGGAACTGCACTAGAACTATGCTTTAATTTTATACAAAAAATCCCAATTTTAGGAATTTTAAATATATATTTATTTTTATAAAAATTTCGTAAATGTATACAAAAGATATTTGAGATTTATTGAAGAATTCTTTAAGGTTGGAAATGGCTTTGAAAAGCTTTAAATATTACTAAATAAAAGTAATAATTACATTAAAAATACTTCAGATAAATACCACGTAATACACTAAAAATACTATAAGTACTAAATACAATGAAAATACAAAACATACTTTTAATAATATATAAATACTTATATTTAAATTATAAAAAATAATCTTATATCAAATATTATAAATCCTCAAAGACATAGAAAAAAAAACCATATAAAAGGTATTTTTTTTAAATATGCCTACATAGGTCAAATCGTATTTAAATATGCCTTCAATTAAATATAAATTTTTTTCTTTCCAAGAAGAAATCTTCTCTCAAAAAGTAGTTGAAAAATTCCATTGTTCCCCATTTTCTGTAGAGCATTTTTGAATATAAAATTGCTTTGTGGGGGCACTGAAGGAGGTCGGGTCGAGCATCAAGACAGGGGAAAAACAAAAGCCGAGCAAGAAGCAACAGTGACACTGACAGTGGCACTGGCAGGCGGCAGGCGGCAGGCGGCAGGCAGGTCCAGGTCCAAGTCCAGGTCCCTTCTACTTCCACACCCACTCTGCCATTCTGCTATTCTGCCACTCTGACTCTGACAGTTGTCAACTGCTGTTGTTTGCTTCCTTTATTTCATATTTCTTTGCCGTATTTCATATTCCCTCCGTTATGCGCTCTCTCCCTCTCTCACGACCCGAGAATTTTGTCATATTTCTTATATACTGTCGTACTCGGACTCATACTCGTTCTCGGATTTTGTTGGAGGCTTCATTAATGTGCGACTACGAGTCTCCTGCCTGAAAATCTCTGAGTTCAATCTACGATATGTGCATCAGTTTCTCACTTACCTAGGATTTGGCATTGTTTGTTTCCGCTGGCTCTCTGATCATAAATTTCCTTTTAACCAGTTTAGCCCGAGGGGGAGAGTTGGGGGCAAAAAAAAATATCATAAAATACAAAATGAAGTACGCCCGACATGACTCGGACACTCTAGAATTTATGTGACAATTTTGTTCAGAATAAATGACTGCTGCAGGACCAAAGCAAAGTGGAGGATGCCATGCCCCATATGTGTGTGTGTGTGTGTGTGAACGGTGGCATATTCAGGTTTATGTGAGGGTATCTTAGGGGTATATTTGTTGGCTGATTCACTTTGTGATCGGAACAAATGAAGAGGCGATTGTGTGCCTTGACAAGAAGGTTTCCAGAAGTGTTAGGCGTTTGGATTAGTTATAATTCTACAAAACCAAGCAAAGCAACCGAGGGGCACTGCCGCATGACGCGTTTTCAAGCCATCGGATTCATTTTTTTAATTCAAGGAAAGATTTAGTTGTCTGCTTGGCAAAATCCTTATACCCTCTATAGAGGGTATATAAATTAGTTGGGTTAAAAGGCACGCACACACACACACACACCAAAAGATACCCATGGAAATGGGTTAGGGGAAAGGGAAGCTGGCATTGGGCTCCGGCGATTGCCATTCCACAAAGCCCACAAAGTGGGTGCCCACTAAAAACTAACCCACTGGACACCAGGGGATGCCCATGGAAGGTGGGAGGGGTTGTGGCACTGGCAGCAGTGGCAGCAGCACTTCAGCACTTGGTCTCTCGATTCGCTTTTGGGGCTGTTGTTGTCGGTCATGTTGCATAAATCTCATTTTGGGCTTTATTTACTCTCTCTCTCACAAAATGGTGCACGTTTTCCAGATGCTTCTTTCTCTCTAACGTGTTATCCCATCTCTTTCTAACCTCCTAGTGCTGTCTCTTTCTAGCAAATAAATTCATTTAGTGGCATTTAGTGGCCCCCTTTCACCTTATTGTCGTCCATGGGTCGTCGAAGGCAGGATCCTGTTCGTGCCCCCAGAGGGTTCATATGGTTCCATGGTGTGTGTGTGTGTGTGTGCATTTTATGGCAGTTTCTGCGTTTTTGTGGCCAAACATGAAGTGAAAATTACACACATATGGAAGGGAAAATGCACACACACACACACACACACTCACATGGCAATTGTTTTTCCCCGAATTCATGGGGGGATGGGCTTGTGGGAGGGGTTTGTTGTGGCTGCTGCTGCTGCTGGATTTTGGCTTTAGTCGGCAGTTAATTTTCATATTTTCTAGCCGCACTCACGTACTGACACAGACCTCCCCCCCTAAAAAAAACCCCATACCCTTCTCTCTCATTTTGTGTGGACATTTTGTCGTAAATAAATTTAACAATTTATTTAGATTGCCATGACAGGCGGATGCTATTAAAAGCGAAATTTATGGGATCCTTTCGGCGCTTTCGGAAGGGAAATGGAAGATGCACAAATGAACTTTATGATGTTGCAAAAAACCCAGCCGGGGGGGGGGCCAAGGAACAGTAACCAAATAATGCATTTTTGGTGGGGAAAAACGGAACAACCTAGGGGTAATTATAATGTAATGTGTATCCAAGGGTAGGTTGGGCTTTCGCTGGAAGAGTAATGGTGGTAATATTTTAGAGCAGATGGCCATTTTAAATTCCAGAGAAGTACGAATTTTTTGGTGTGCTGCTAAGACACACTGGGAGAGAGATGTTTAAATTAAAATACGATACAAAAATGTATTATAAATAATAATATAGAAAATACTCCAAAATAATACCAAAATAATATTAAAAAGACTAAAATACTCTAGGAAATAATCTAAAATAATATTAAGAAGAATAAAATACTCTAGGAAATACTCTAAAATAATACCCAAATAATATTAAGAAGAATAAAACTCTTGGGATCCTTTATTTTCGAATCCATTTGTCATCAAATTACAAAAAGAACACAAAATCTATTTTCCACACACCAAAGATCCCGCCCTAAAGATCTCCATCTCCACCTCCACCTTTTCTTACTAAATGCCACTTGATGGCACAGGAAATGGATTTTCAATATATATCAAGATGCTGATGACAGCCAGCGATTAAAGATCTTTGACTGCAGCGAAACCACTTGACCCGAGAGAGCTGTGCCATCAATTAGAAACTTGAACTCTGGTTTCCTGACAGATTGCTGGGATCCTGAAGTAGAGCACTTGTCGGACTG